AAAATTTCACATACCATTTATTTATTATACCTACCATATAAAGCATATAAAGACCGTGCAAAATTTCTTATCTAACATCCAAACAAAAGAAACCTTAATTTAGTTATCTCCTTTTTAACTAAATCTATTTAATTTAATGTGAAAATTACTCTAATTATTATTTCTTAAAAGAAAACAAATTTAAGTTCTGTGTCAATTTTCTGATTTTAATTCTACTTTCAACTGCTTTTATTTTTACCTGTGAAACTGTACTCTTTACATAAATTAATTAATAACTTCAAGAATTTATGAACAAAGAGTTTGTGTCCCAATAACTGCGACGTGATATGGGTTTCAAACATATATGGTACAAACACAGCTATTATTCAACATATTTTATTTTTAGCTGTGAAACTCTACTCTTTAAATCAATTAATTTATAACACTAAGAATTTATGGACAATGAATTTGTGTCCCAATTACTGTAAAATTTTTTCTGTGAAACAACAAGAAATACTTGTGAACGGTGAAGTCATCAATAATTTGCGATATGCGAACGATACAGTACTCCTAGATTCTAGTCAAGAAGATCTGCAAACACTACTTTTTTTTAGCTGGCTTTAGCACTTAGCTATTTGGCCAATTACACAAACACTACTTGGAAAATCAAAGTACTCGTAATAAGTAAACAGCAGCATATAAAACCGTCTATATATGTAAATAATACCAAACTTGAGCAAGTTGATAAAATCGTTTATATTGGACAGCAATTAAATTGAAACGCAGAAAGTCACGGCGAAATGAGATCTAGAATAGAGCAGGCTAGAGCTGCTTTTAGAAGGATGTCCAAGCTGTTATGTAACAAAGACCTAAAATTGGCATTGAAGATCCGCCTACTTCGCTGCTACGTGTTCTCGGTCTTACTTTATGCTGTCGAGTCCTGGACTGTGAATAAAATCGATCTAAATCGCCTTGAGGCTTTCGAAATGTGGTGCTATAGAAGAATTTTAAAAGTTTTCTGGGTGGAGAAGATTAGAAACTCCACAATACTAGAACGTCTCAACAAGACTTCTTCTTCTTCTTTTGGCATCATAACCCTGGATGGGTCTTTGCCTGTCTGGCTATGTCCTTCCATTTAGATCTCTCTTGTGCCCTTCTTCTCCATTGTCTTATGTTCATTGTTTTCAGGTCGTCTTCCACGTCATCCAACCATCTCGTTCTGGGCCTTCTTTTTTTTCGCCTTCCTATGGACTTCCATTGTAACATTTTCTTTGCTGTTTTTGCATAGTTTTGTCTCTGCACATGTCCCAGCCATGACAGTCTTTGACTTTTCACAAATCTTACAATGTCATAACCTTCATTTAACTCATTAACCTCGTCGTTTCTCCTGATTCTCCATGTGCCATCTTTCTCTTGTACCGGGCCATATACTTTCCTCAGTATTTTTCTCTCGAATCTCCTGAGTTGGGCTTCATCTTTTTTCGTCATTACCCAAGTTTCACATCTATAGGTTACTACGGGTCTAATCAGTGTTTCTGTTATTTTGGCTCTTTTGTCTAATAATTTCGATGTCATCAATCTTTTATTAGCATAGTATGTACGATTCCCGCTGGAAATACGTGCATTAATTTCGCTACTTACGGAGTTCTTCAGATTGATTTCTGTGCCGAGACATGTAAAGGCATCCACTCGTTCGATAGTATAGTTGTCTATTGTGATATTATTTTCATTGTCAGTTATTTTTTTGACTGTCATATACTTCGTTTTTGCTTGGTTTATTTCAAGACCTCTTTTTCTTGCTTCGGAATCAATTTGTTTGAGACTCAACAAGACTACTGAGATTATAAAAAGCATCAAGCAGAGAAAGCTGGAGTATTTCGGACATGTATATCATGCAAGGAAAAATAGCAGGCAGACGCAGTCCAGGACGACGAAAAACCTCATGGTTGAAAAACTTGCGAGCTTGGTATAATGTTGATACAAGTAAGCTATTTAGGGTGGCAGTGAATACAATTAAGATAGCTATGATGGTAACCAACGTTCTGAAAGGACATGGTACATTAAGAAGAATAACTGTGACTTGATTAGGGTTTCAAAACATATACGGTACAAACACAATTCTTTTGCCACAAATAATTTGACTGACCTTTAATGTAATCTCTGCGATGTTTTCCGACTAACCCCTATTGATTCTCCTAACTGTGTTCCCACAAAGCTGTCGAAATTCTCCAGCACGTGTTTCTCTGCTTTTTTTTTCCAAAACTGTTACGAAAAATAGCACTCGTTGAGATTCTCCGATTTGTTTCAAAATAACAATGGACTCGTTCAGCTCAAAAGTTTTTTCGCCTCGACTGGGTGTCCTGTGCAAATCTTATATAATTTTTTCCTTTTTTTTACTTACAAAATTTAGAATCTCTTCAGACACAAGGAATTTTGAATTCTCGACTTGGTCTCGGTTCGCCTTCCACTATTCTATAATCATCAACTTAATCCACAAAATAACACAACTTGTACTACTTATCATTTAGCACACTGGTTTCAAACTGGACTGCTCGTTCTGGCTAGTAAAAACGCAACGCTCGAAATTTTTTAATTCTATTTTATAATAATTGATATGAGGTTGAATGCTCGAATAAATGAACTATGAAAATTAAGGCAAATATCGAGCACAAGTTTAAATAAATCTTGCCCAAGTACTTTCGCTTAAAATTGCATCTTCAGGGGCATCTGAAATAAGCCAAAAAACGTTTTTTAGATGAAAGAAATTAGTTAACTTAGATAAAAACTCGAAGTTAATGGATGAAAAAAGTTTTTTGTGATTAACGTTTTAGACTAACTTCATCAAATATGAGCTATCGAGCTAGCGTAGAATGTGATAAATATGAATGTTAACATAAATTGTACAAAACACTACACTAAAACAAGGACAAACAGTTTAAAATTACTTAAAAAGATTCTACCCACTACATTCTTTGTCAGTATCAGGAAAGAGAATGGTCTAAACGGAAATGCTAAGGTGACATGTGACATATGACAACTGTGTCACATGTGACACGTGACATGTGACATATGACAGTCACAGTCATGGATCTGTGATCTGCACATATTAAAATTCTGTGTAAGTAAGTTGACATTGACCAAAGTTGCAACTAAAACTATTATAGAAAATCAGCTTATGAAATATGACATATAGAATATTTTGATTTTAACTAGATTGCATAATCCAGATGAAACAGTCGGCATAAGAGTAAATGGAGTCTTAATCAGATATGCAGATGATACAGTAATAATAGCCGATAGTTTACAAGACCTGGAAAGACTCATGAGCAAAATAGTCATGTGTAGTAGGGAGTACGGACTCTCTCTTAATGTCAAAAAGACGAAGTTTATGAAAATTTGTAAAAACAACTATAATACTAACGAAATCTTGATAGTAGAGAGCCAGCAGATCGAAAGAGTAAAAAAGTACACTTACCTAGGAACACTTATAACAGAAAATAATGACTACACGGCAGAAATCAAAGTCAGAATCGAAAAAGCACGTTCTAATTTTATAAAATGAAAAAGGTCCTATGTGGCAAAGATCTAACATTAGCTCTTAAAGTACGCCTAACAAAATGTTACGTATACAGTGTACTATATTATGGAGTGGAATCATGGACGTTAAATCTAGATACCATGAGACGACTTAACGCCTTTGAAATGTGGACCTATAGAAGAATTATGAGGGTTTCCTGGGTAGATAGAGTTACAAACAATGAAATACTGAGAAGAATAGGCAAAAAGAAGGAAATTAAACTTACAATTAAAGAAAGAAAGCTACAGTATCTCGGACATGTGATGCAGGGCGATAAGTATGGCATCCTGCGACTCATAATGCAAGGAAAAATAGATGGCAGAAGAAGCATCGGAAGAAGACGAATTTCATGGCTGAAGAACCTGAGAGAATGGTTTGGATGCAGCTCAAAACAACTATTTAGAGCTACTGCCCCAAAAATTAAGATAGCTATGATGATTGCCAACCTCCGTAGCGGAGATGGCACCTGAAGAAGAAGATAATCCAGATCTCACACTCATACCCGTCTGTAATAATAAGGTTGTAGGTTTGAGAGTAAATGAAGTGGAAAGTGTGAATGAAAGAAATAGACTAAACGATCTATTGGACAGTGGATGGTTGACTACAATAAAATTGTCTACCAGGTACTGTAAATACTATAAAAACGAGAAGACAATTGACTATGAAATTGAAATATTAAAAATTAAATCAAAATTGAAAGCAGTGTATAAATGTGGTATAATTGGGAGAACTGTAAAACGAATATGTAATAGCGTTACTGACCAACAGTGGCAGGTGTTGAAATATAAATTTGTGGAATTGGTATATCTAGATTACGCAGAGGTATGAAGAGTGAAATTAACTCCAACTGTAGATCAATTGAACCTGAGCAAGCTAGTTGTGTAAATTCTTAAAGAATACAATAGTAATGCTGAACAAAGCATGAAATTAATAGATTCCTAATGGATATACTCAGTGCAGGAACTCTAAACAGCCGAGTTGGGTCCACTACGAGGTGAAGCTGCAATAAAGTTTTTAAAAATAGGTTTAAATTTGGTACAATTTAAATTAATTTGAGTGTTAAGACAATGAGAGTTTCCATTCGTTTCCTTTGTGATCTCCAAATCTTCCAATAAATCCAACTCCAAATAGTTTTTCAAAACCAACCAAAAAGATCAAAAGTTTAAATGTCATTAATGTCTACGTGAAAACAAATCAGGTTAGTAAGTTACGATCAAGAGATTCCGCATTTTTGGCGCCAGCTATTAAATATTATCTTCTGATAAAAATACGTTTGAAAAAAATATAGTCTGAAATTCCACAATCTGAAAAGCACCCATTTTTCTTAGTGTATGGCTAATTCTAGAAATAAGGCAGAAATTTTTCCTAAAAGTTTATAGTATATTTTATGACTATATTACAGCGACGTGCCCCTTCAAATGAGTTATTTATAACTTCATTTACAATGGAATCCATGAAAATTAGTGTTATAAAGGAAGATAGCTTTGCAGTCGGTAATAATATGTTATTTTAAGACAAATGCAGTAACATTTATGTGGAAAGTATGAAATTGTGGCGACATTTAATGTTGAATCGTATATAACTTTGTCGTGTCTCAAGAGTTTTTCATTTTATACATAACTATTTTTAATATATCTTAATTTTTGCCTGCGTTTTCGTTTACTAAATTCAAAGAAATAGTCGATTTATAACAGTAAACGTGCCAAAAAGGTAAAATTATTTAAGGTATGGGGCGTTAAAATACATTTGGGTTTTAATAAGGCTGCAAAAAAAAATCAAGAATAGTAAGCAGAGATATGCTTCATACAGAGCAAGCATTTATGTTTGTGTATGTGTTTATGTAACAAAAATAAGTTCTCAAAGAAGTTGCCCTAAATGACATGTGGTATTTTATGAGGCCTTTCTTCTTCTTAACGTACTTATCAAGTCTCCTGGATGCTCCATTCTCCTCGAGGTCCTTCAACTATGAGGCTTGTTCTTTACCAATTCCTCTGTATTCTCCGATTTTACTCATCATAATTAGTCGAAGAATAATATACTCTCTTCTCTACATTTTATGTCTAAAATAGGGTATTTTTATGAATTTGACGCTATCAATCAGCTGACGAACAGCTTCTCCTTTGTTGAAAAATGCTGTTAAAGGTTATCGTGATGCCATGTATTGTCTGTCACCGAAGCTCTTTGTCTCTGGTTAATTCTTTTAGGTGTTTTGCATATTCTTGTAATTTGTCGATCCATCGTATTGAGGATTTTCCTCAGGATTTTTCTTTAGCCTTCTGCCTTTCCTTGGAAAATAACATGTTTTTGTGTCTGCTCTCATAACATGCTTAAAGTATTTTAATTGTACGAGAGCCGATTGCTGATCTTTAGTTGTCTAAGACCAATAAGTTACAAAAAACTTTCGTTAAAGGCTATTTAAATATATTTTGTAAGGGTTGGTGCTGACCTCTTTCAAGAATCGGAAACTACAAAGCAATTTTAACAAAAGATCTGGTTACCATCGAGAGACATTTTTTGCGTCAGGCACAATCAAGGCTACGCCAAGGTACTGGCTATCAGCACTGTGCAACCTCACACACTCGCCGAGAATATGCTCTTTTTAGGGAGTATACAAAAATTAATCAGTGATCCCGTGCTCTGCTCCTACTATGGTATCACCGGCAAGATTGTTAGTCTTTATAAACTTAAATTATATAAACAGGTAGCAAAAGATTCAGAAAATGGGCTTGGCAAGGGAATATTTAAAAAAATCAGTCATTTTTTGTTGCTTAAAATACGTGTTTAGTCTTTATTTTTGTACTCCGAAGACGTAGGCGATTGTTTTGCGATTGATATTGGAGCAATCTTCTCTACCATGCCTCTACACAAGTGGGTTTTAAAGATCAATAACTCAAAAACACAAGTGATGACAAACCTTGTTCTGAGTGAGAAGATCAACATAGCTGGAACAAGTATAGAACAAACATCAGCATACAAATATCTGGGACACGAAATTCGCTTAAGTAGAGATAACCAGACCAATGAACTAATACGTAGAATAGGGTTGACATGGGCAGCTTATGGAAAGCTAAGAGATGTTTTCCAATCAGCTCTTCCCATCTGCTTGAAGAGAAAAGTCTTCGATCAATGTGTGCTGCCGGTTCTAACCTATGGTGCGGAGACGCTAACACTTACTAAGACGTCCGCAAACAAAATCCGAACAACACAGAGGGCAATGGAACGGTCCATGTTGGGATTAACCCTGAGAGACCGAATACCCAACACAGAATTGCGCCGTAGATCGGGAGTAACCGACGCAATCAAAAGAATATCAACCTTAAAATGGAACTGGGCAGGGCATGTCGCGAGAACGAAGGACGGCAGATGGACAAAACACATTCTTGAGTGGAGACCCAGACAAGATGCCTTTAGGAATAGAGGACGACCACCAACAAGATGGACGGATGACCTGAAACGGACACATCAAAATTGGATGCAGGCGGCTCAGGACAGAAATTTGTGGGGTGAACTACGGGAGGCCTATGTTCAGCAGTGGACGAGTATGGGCTGAATGATGATGATGATTGGAGCAATCTTACCCAGATATCCACCACTTCAAAAATTTGCAGATTTCTTGGTGAAAAAACTACATTGCTGAAGACATTGCCAAATTTTCACCTACAATGTGAGCTGAAAATAGTACGTCTCTACAAAGAACGTCGAATGCATGCGAGAGTTTTTATTTAAAATTTAATTCTTTGTTTTATATTTGCTATCCGAACATTTTCCAATTTTTGGAGATTTTGAAAAATGTTCAAATAGATCTATATTAAAGTAAAGTAGTAGTATCTTTAAAAGTGTTTCCTTTCCTTGTTTCCAAAATCCAAGTTTCAGAAGGAGATTCAATTCCGGGGAATTTCGTAATGGGTGGCGACTAGTTCATGTATGGGTTTGGGAGCCAATTCGTGTAGGATTAAAGTGGGTTTATAGAGTTCGGGAGCCAGTTCAGGTGCGCCGCCATAAGTATGTTTCTTTCAAGAAATAACCCTTTAGACTTTGCAATAATTTTAAAAGGAACTTCAAGATAACCGACCGTTGACAAGAAGAATGAAAAACACCTGAATATGCCTTGTATTACAAGCAAGTCAAAGGGTTTTATCCAAACGAGAGGTTGCTGTAGAATACGATCAACCTGTGTAGGTGCTCTGATTCAGTTTGAGATGGAGAAAAATATCCTCCCCAAATTGTGGTTGCGGTGCTGCAAGACGAAAGTTTCAACATCTGGTGGAGGAATGCTCAAACACATCCTACACTGGTAATGCGTCCACCTTCTTAGTTGCGACCCAGGAGTTAATTGAATATATTTGTCAACTCAATGTTTGTTTATAAAGATTAAGTATTGTTATTTACTGCTTTACAAAATTACAAATCAGAAAAGAAATAAGAACTGCAAAGGAAAATTTTTATACAAGAAAATGCGAGGAAATCGAAGAACTACATCTCAAACATGACACTTTTAACTTACATAAAAAGATAAAGGAAACTGACAGGTACACAAAAACGAAAACATCTCAATCTCCTATGCAACGCAAATGGTGAAATAATAGCCGATCTACAAGAAAAGCTTAGGACCTGGAAGAACTATATAGAAGAATTGTTCGACGATGAAAGACAAGAACCTAATATAGATAACTTGCAAGGCGACGAAGGACCAGAAAATAACTAAAGAAGAACTATTATACGCTATAAAAATAATGAAAAATGGTAAATCACCGGGTCCAGACGGGCTCACATCAGAACTTCTTAAGCTTGTGGAAGGCGAATCAATGAATATTCTACTCGACCTTTTTAACTGCATCTACAAAAGAGGAGAAATACCAAAGGAATGGCTACTTTCAACTTTGTAACCTTACCAAAAACAGTGCACTGACTACCGCACTATAAGCATAATGGGGCATACATTAAAAGTATTCATCAAAGTAATCCAGTCAAGAATTAACAGAAAACTAGATGCAGATATTAGTAATACTCAATTCGGATTTCGGAACGGGCTTGGAACAAGAGAACACTATTTGCACTTAACGTCATATGCCAAAGATGTCTAGATATAAACCAAGATATATATATATATATATATATATATATATATATATATTATATATATATATATATATATATATATATGTGATTTATTGATTACAACAAAGCGTTTGATAAAGTTCGTCACGATCACTTAATGAAACTGCTAGTAGAAAAAAACTTGGATAAAAGGGACATTAGAATTATCTCTAAGATTTACTATAACCAGAAAGCAAATATCGGAATAGAGCAAGAGACAACGGAGAAAATCGAGATCAAGAAAGGCGTAAGACAGGGTTGTATACTCTCACCGACCTTATTCAATCTATACTCCGAAGACATTATAAACACAGCACTTTCGGATCAAAATATAGGTATTAAGATAAATGGCATCCGAATAAACAACTTGAGATATGCCATGACACGGTACTAATCGCAGAAACTTGGGAAGATCTTCAAATACTAATTAACAAAATAGTAGAATGCAGTGAAGAACACGGATTATCACTTAACATAAGCAAAACAAAAATAATGCTAATATCTAAATCACCACAAAACTTCCCTGACATAACCGTACATGATCAAAGAATCGAACGTGTAAGAAGATATAATTACCTGGGAACTGTTATCAACGAAAATAATGACTGCTCTGAAGAAATCAGAACCAGAATAGAGAAAGCTAGAGCCACATTTACTAAATTGAAAAAGGTGTTCTGCGGAAGAGATCTAAGTCTAAAACTTAAAATTCGCCTTTTGAGATGTTACGTTATGTCAGTTCTCCTCTACGGGATGGAAACATGGACATTGAATAAGATCGATACCAAAAAGATAGAAGCATTTGAGTTGTGGATGTATCGTAGAATATTAAGAATACCCTGGACAGAGAAAGTAACAAATGTGGAGGTTTTGCGGAGAGTGCGGAAAGAGAAAGAGCTGATACTTACTGTTAAAAAGCGCAAACTACAATATTTGGGACATGTTTATGAGGGGAGATAAATACCAGTTGCTGCAATTGATTATACAGGGAAAGATAATGGGAAAGAGATTTATAGGAAGAGGAAGGCATTCATGGTTGAAAAACTTGAGAGAATGGTACAATTGCACCAATTACCAACTGATAGCCAAACTTCGGAACGAAGACGGCACTTGAAGAAGAAGATTTACTGCTTGTAACGTATTGTTCCCTTTGTCTATATACAAAACTATCCTGTGATATATTCATAATTTTGTTAAATAGAAAAATATTAAGAAATGATATTTAAATAAGTAGTTTCATTTATCAGAATCATATTTCAAATAAATGATTACCTTTCTGACCACATACGTCTAACATCGAAGCTTGTTAGTATTCCTGTAGCATTACAGCTAATATATACGTACCTGACTTGCTGAATTTCGTTTGGTAACGAACCAATAACTTAAGTTACTCTAACTTGTTTCTAACTGCATGCAAGAAAAAATTCGCAAAATCTAATTTGACCTTATAGATCGCAACGAACGTTTCTGTTTGCCGTTTTTGATCCCTTAGAAATAAATTGTCGTTTCCAAACTCAGAAATGCAATTTGGCTTGTTAAATTTCCGATACCTAGTCGTTAGACATGGTCGGCAGCAACGGAGGAGGATGGGGTGTTTTAGACACAGTTTATGTCTTTGGTACAATCGTTTCATAAATTAATTTTTTTTTTATTTAAAATTATAATATTGAATGTACACGATCTATTAATAATCATTCAAAAATACATCATTATCAGATAGAATTAATTACACATCATTACAGTAAGACTCCTCATTTTTATGGAGTACCGAAAATTCATAAAAACGAATATACCACTTAGACCCATTTGTAGTACCATAAATTCTCCTTGTAGTGAACTATCAAAATTTTTATTAAATATTTTAAAACCATTTACAAATAAAAATTACACATTCATAAAAAATACACAACATTTTTTAAATAAATTATCAAATATTGAATTTAATTCAAATAATACTTTGGTAAGTTTTGACATAAATAGTTTATTTACGAATGTGCCATTAAATAAGACTTTAAGTATAGTCAAGACAAAATTAGAGAGTGATGATTCATTGGCAACTAGAACAAGACTAAACCTATCGGCTATAATGGAGTTATTAACATTATGTACTGATAATACATATTTTCAACTAAATAATGAATTCTATAAATTTTGGTCTAGCAATGGGCTCTAGTTTATCTCCATTCTTAGCCGATATATTTATGGAAGATTTTGAAACAAATATCATTTCTAAACAAAATTTCAAACCCACAGTATGGTGGAGGTATGTAGATGATGTATTCTCAATATGGCCTCATGGATCAAAGTTGTTGGACACATTCCTAAATGATATAAACGATAAAGAAGAGACAATAACATTTACCATGGAAAAGGAATATAATAACACGCTACCTTTCCTGGATGTTTTAATCTCTAAGAACGATACTGGATATGAGACTCAGGTGTATAGAAAACTAACACACACCAATAGATATTTAAAGTTCTAACGAAAATTGGTTCTTGGAGGGGGAAACATTTGTTAACATCTGTTTTTTTAAAAAATGATTATCCTTTATCGTTTATAAATAAGGAATTTTCAACAATCGATCGAATAGAACAAAACAACTTAGAACGAGATCCTACAGCATACACAAGGAATAATATGAGGAAAATAACAATACCGTACATAAAAGGATTATCAGAAAAACTTAAAAGGATAGGAAATAAATTCAACATTTCAACAACATTCAAAACAACAAATACGTTGAGATCTATTTTGTCCAAAACCAAACCTAACAATGAACAAGAAAGGACAAAGAATTGCATTTATAAAATACCTTGTGAATGCGATCAGTTTTATTTAGGTGAATCATCAAGGCCATTACATGTTAGAATAAGTGAACATCAATCTTATATTAAAAATAGAGAATTTGATAGATCTCAAATATGTAAACACGCATGGGATAACGAACATAGGGTTCAATGGAATAATTCAAATGTAGTCCTAAAAGAAACGGATGGTAAAAAAAGAAAAATCAAAGAAGCGGCTCTAATTATGCTAAATAAGGCCAATTGTGTCGCAAATTCCTCGGCAGAATGTAGTAGGATCTGGTTACCAATATTGAAAGAGGAAGTTATTAATAAGAAAATACCAGTATTAGTAACTCAGTAACATATGGAGGATACATAATTTATGTTTTTTAAATAACGTAACATATAAAATCAGAATTTTGATGTTTGTTGAAGGTAAACTAAATTCACGAACAAATACTTACAATGTCGGGATAATATTATGAGGTTTTTTTCCTGGTTTTTCCCTCATAATTTACTATGGAATCACTAACAGGAGAATTTTACTGTCATCATCTCATGTGTTTGTCTTTTTAAAGACGAATTACATGCTATGATTTTTTCTGACGGATATTCTCAAGTTAAAGTTGATTTCATGTAATCGAATGAACTATCTTAAAAGTAAAGTCGTCCCAGGAGCGCAACTCAACAATATTGGCAATATCATTTTAAAGTCGTCTACTTTAAAATGCATAATGTATGTCTGAATTGTCAATATAAATGAGTCAGATAAAATTAAATTATTAGAAGAATTTTTCACTATGTAACAAAAAACAAAATTTGTTTAATTTACTGTTTGTATTTTGAGAACGATTTCCGAAGTGGAAATTGAAACGTCAATAAACGTATTTTTATCTTTAATTGTGTCTTATTCCCAGTTTAAATAGTAATTAATTTACAATGCCACAAGAAAATAGCTTCAGAACAATATTAAAAATACATCATGTTAAGGTGGCCGGAGTCTGAGTATTATTAATTTATAAATTCATTAAAAAATGAGAAATACTTATTAAGACTAAAAATAGATTAATTAAAGTTGAAGAACTTTTGTCAGATTTTTATAAAACTGAAGAATTTTAAATAAAATTTAAAAGAAAAATTTTGATGTTTTAAAATAGTCTCGAAATCTCGAAAAATCTTTAGCACATTGAGTTCATGGACAGAGAGCCTGCATTAAATATGTATTGTAATGAGAAGGTTAATCAGAATTATATCAGAAGTAGATTCCATTTTCTTCGTATTTCTATTTTTTGGACTCCTGGACGCCTTTTTCTGTAGGTACTGTCTTTGGCAACGTACCTACTTTCCTGCTTGGCTGTCTTCACTAACCACTTGGCTAGAACCTGATTAGATGAGAAAATTAGTCTATGTACTTCTTGGTACTTCCCCTGTATTCGATTTCTATTGAGGATGTCTCTAGTCTTAAAGGGTCTTCTTATGGCCTGGTGGAAGAAGTATGTTGTTTTGTTCTGTCCCTTTTTTAGTGGCGTGTACTTGACCTGGTAAAAGAAGTATCTTGTTCAGTGGCGGTCTCAAGGAGGGGGGCGATGGGGACGATCGCCCCCCCCCCCAGAAACCTTAATTTTCTGAAAAAATGAGAAGTTAATATACATATTAATCAGAAGTGTGAGATCGAACTAATGCATTGCTATTATTGGACAAAATGCACTTGCCAATCAACGGAACACAGCGATTGTTTGCTTTAAAGATTTGTTCCAAGAAGCAAAGGACATCGCCGAGAAGACAAATTTTGATATTAGTATTCCAAGAATATCACAAGTGCAGAAGAATCGAGCCAACCACGCAATTAAAGACCCAGAGACATACTTTAGAGTATCAGTGTTCCTTCCCATTCTAGACTCTGTAATAGAAGACACAAAGTCTCGTTTTCCTGAAGAAACATTGGAGTTGTACAATCTTCACGTATGCATGCCTGAATACCTGATAACCAACTCTGTTCAGGACATGTCTGAAAAAATTGAGTGTTTAGTAAGGAGGTACAGTGAACTTTTTGATATGTCTCAAGCTGAAATGAAATGCTTATTGAAAGGTGAACTACAGCTTTGGGAAATGCAATGGAAAGATACGGACGAATTTCCAAAAACAGCGCTGGACGCGTTAGACAGTTGTAACAGAGATTTGTTTCCTACAGTCAGCAAGCTACTTCTAGTCTTAGCTACACTTCCCATCAGCAATGCTTCTGCAGAGCGTAGCTTTCAATCTCTAAAGAGAATAAAGTCGTGGCTAAGAACACGGATGCGTCAAGACAGGTTGACTGGACTTGCTCTAATCCATGCCCATCGAGACATCCCTGTAGACCCAACGAAAGTTTTAGAACGATTCGCCAAAAGTGGCCATCGAAGACTTGAATTCGATTTGTAATTACATTCTTTTTAAAACCTTATAACTTGTTATTTTATTACTTATAACCTAATAAAACTATTACAATGTATAATGTGAACCTCCTTTTTTCCATTCTAATAGACTAATTTGTATTGTATATTTATTGTAAATTTTAACATTTTAAAAGGTAAAATGTGTTTTGAGCTCTTTCAATTCAAGCGTAAAACTAACATTGTCAGACCAAACCTCTGAAGTTTGACGTTTGTTCGTGATAACGTAAAACCACCTAAATCGTCAAAGGTTTAGAAAGATGAGACTTGCTTCAGAGGCTTGCCATTGAAAAATACTATCACCCACAAACCTTTTCTATTAGACTTTGAGTTGTTTTCAATAGTTCTAAATTGGTTTTTGATACAATCACAAGAATACAAAATATATTTTGAATATTTTATTTGTAAGTTAGCCGAACAATATTTACAACAAGCTTTAGAGGCTAGCTTTTTTTATTTTTTATTATAGTGTAAAACTGTTTCCACTGATACTAATTGTAATAATAATAAGTGATTTTCCTTTTTCTCCGTTCGTCACAACCACTAAGTGACAGTCAGTCTATATTCGGTCCATCAACTGTTCAAATGAATAAAATGCCTTTAAAACTCTCAAATCTTGCCATATTTTTACAAATTTTCCGGCCCCCTTTCCAATGGGGGGCTGCACCCCCAGACCCCCTGCAACAGACCATCGCCCCTCCCAAAATCTGACTCTGAGACCACCACTGATCTTGTTCTATTTTCCCATTTCCTCAGTAGCGTGTATAATGGTGTGTGGTCACCTCCCTAAGTGGTATGTACTGTAGCTTTTTTTGTACGGTTGCATTTGAAATTCGGTGCTGCCATGTCTATTCTTCTATTAGTCTGCAGTACGAGCACACCGTTTCTGTTTTTTTCTAGATTCTTTCTCAGTTGGATTTCGCTGTTGAACTCCAAACTACATACAATATACTACATATAATATCCCAGCTCTAACGTAGACCTGGTATAAAATCTTCTTGGAATGAGATAAACGGCTGGTCCTGAAAATGAAGGTTTTACTTTGTCTCTTGACCATTGATGCTTCTTTCTTGATTTCTTGCATGTTCCTGGTGCAATTTAATCTTCTGTTGAGGTGAACTCCAAGGTACTTGACGACTTCTTGTGATTGGATCTAGTTTTCTCTCGTCGTTAGTTGTACTACTGGTAAGTTTTGTTTCTCTATAAAGATGATCAATTGAATATTCTCCGTGTTGGTTTTTATTTGCCATTTCTCCGTGTTAGCCAAAATTTTTTCGAAGCGGTCTTCTAATTTCTAGACTCTTCTTCAGTCCTCTTTACATGAAGCGTATATTGTTGTATCGTCCGAGTAAAGGTCTGTATTTCTTCTCGCATTTTCAAATCTAAAATAAATATGTTGTATAGAATAGGTGATAAAATACTGAACTGAACCCTTTCCATAGTATTTTATTTTGTAGAAAATATCACAACCTTTCTTTTGGTATAATGCTTTAAATGTCTAGTATATTTTGTTTTTTATATATGTAGAGAATAACTATAGATTTGATGTTTTTGCAGATTTTATGTACTTTTTTTTTCTTTTATATGTACTTTAAGTACACTAAGTTAATGACACTGGCAAAGCCAATCATGTTTTCTTATAGTTTTATCATCCATTGTTTACATTATATACACTTTAATATATTATATACATGTTAAAGAGCGGTACAACAATATTAGTGCTAATGCTATAAATGCCTAAAGATTTTGGTTACTAATAGAAAAATACAGGTTGTTAAAGTAGAAATTACAAATTTTAGTTTTTTCTATAACTTTCATGTTTGTGAACAATAATCCATACAAATTAACAACTGGGTACTACTAAATATGAGAAATATGAGAATTCAGTGGTAAGAGCGCCTACCTTTAAACCTAAAGGTCGTGAGTTCAAATCTCATCTAGGTGGAGAAATTTTCGTTTATTAAAAATTAATGAATAAAAATAATTTCTATCCTTGTGCGATCGGTACTCACCGGAGGGACTGCAGACGTTCGGATACAATTAGCGTCTCTTAGCAAAGACAATGACGTCGACTTTGCTAAGTATCAAGACAATTACTCTACACACACACACTACACTAGGTACCTGACTGTACCATGTCAATGATCTTAGTTGTCGAGGCATTAACTCAATAACAAAAAAAACTTTATGTCAAAGTAAGTGTTCAATATGTCCACCATTTTCTTTAATTCATTTGTCAATACACTGCATAAAATATCGTCTTATATTAAATAGCATTATTGGTTCTAAAGAAACTGCTGCAGTATTTATTATAAGTATTACAAGTATAATAATAAGTACCTTGGCACCAACGTAAATGCAAAATGGGAACAGACCATAGAAATTAAGGCGAGAATAAAACGAGCTAGAGCAGCATTTAGCAATATGAAAAAGCTCCTCATAAGCAAGGATTTGTCTATTCCCCTAAAACTAAGTATAGTTAAATGCTACATTTTTCCGATCTTGCTGTATGGCGTGGAGGCCCGGACGCTGACGGAGACGCTAACGAGAAAACTAGAAGCATTCGAAATGTGGCTGTACCGACGCATTCTTCGTATATCCTGGACCGAACATGTCACCAACATAGAGGTACTCCAAAGAATCGGAAAGGAGAAATAAATCGTAAATACAATTAAACAAAGAAAGCTTGAATATCTAGGCCACATATTGAGACACGATAAGTACCGTCTGCTACAATTGATTGTCCAGGAAAAAATAGACAGTAAGCGAGGGCCAGGCAGGAGAAGACACTCGTGGCTCCAAAATCTGCGGAAGTGGTTCGGGCTCACATCGGTCGAACTATTCAGAAGCGCTGCAAACAAGATCAAAATTGCCATGTTAATAGCCAACGTTCGCAACGGACAGGGCACTTGAAGAATAAGAAGAATAATAAGTACTATTTTGGAATTTTTTATGAATTAAATAACTATATTAATCTCTCACCCCATGACCAAGGAATATGACTACCACTAGCAATCCAACGTTAAGGAAAGTTGGTATTTACGTATGTTCTCACTGCTCTCTTCCTATAGTAATGTCGTAGTGTACCATTATTTGGTGTATATTTATCCTTAAATTTGATGACAAGTCTTCCAATAAATCAATAAAATCATTTTATAAAAAACGTAAATAAATCTCACCATTGAAATTACAAGGTAATTCGCATGTCTGTAATGAGGACATTCAGTATCTCAGAAATGATTTTTCTTTAAATTAAAAAGACCGTGGTTTGTAAATGTAGCTTCATTCGTAAAAATATTCTATCGCCAAAGGAGTGGTCAGGATTTTACCTGTTTCGGAAATCATTTACAAATCTACATCAACTTTATTATCTACAGTATCTATATCATCTAGATTAACTTTTGTTACTTAAGGACCATCCTGTAAATTATAACATTGTAACTTTTCTTTTAATTTTATTGTTTTTTTATTATTATTATTTTTATTGTTTAATACATTTTGTGTATCTACTCAAATATAATAAAAAAAAATTATGAAAACTATATCTCCTTGGGAAATATTACGTTTTAAATTGAATATCTTGGAATAGAGGAATACCTCTAGAAGCGTTACCTTAAACAATATGATATTTTTATGTTTTCTGTAGAACATAATAGATGTGGATATATAAGTATGTACTTACAAGAAAAATAAAAGACAATAACGATCGAATGAAACGAACAATATTCAAATCCATAAACTACAACGTTCAACTATGTTGCAGGCATTCCTTCTCGAAACCGCTAACAGGGTCTCTTGTGAACTTTAATAGGTCGTAAAATTTTTATCTGGAGGTGTGGAGAATTCTAATAGTTTCCCGAATGTATTTAAGACGTAAAAGTGTACAAAATAACCAGAAATCTGCTTGAGAAATCTTTATACGTAAAAGTGGAATCGATCCACTCGCTTTATAGGCGCTATTAGCGATGTTAATAATTAGTAATTAATTATGAGATTACTTTTTAATATGCGGCGAGTAGGAATAAAATTGACATAAAAATAAACGGTTACTTTTACTGATATGACTATAGCTTAAGTTACAATAAATTGAAATCATGCAGGTAGTCTTCTATGAATGTATTAAATGAACACTTCTCTGTTTTAATGTTGAAAATTTGTTCTGATATGAAAAACATTAATGTAATTTCAATGTTTATTAACTGTGGCTGTTAACTGTTAACTGTGTTTGTAAGTAAATACATTGGACGCCAGTCTCATTTTACGCTTTGTAACCAGATACAAGATGGGTACAAAGTGTCGACAATATTTTTTCGGCCTGTGTTCCTTTTTTTTATTAAAAATATACTTGCCTTCAGAGATCATGATTATTTTTGTTTTATAAATATATCTGTTTTGTTTTTGAGTTATTCCTAATTTTCTGTGATTTCCATGAGGGTCACGTAGTACCACAACTTTAATTTGAATTGATGTACCGCGTGACCCTCATGGAGATCACAGATATATTCAGCTGAAATGAGTATATAGTGTCGCTTTTGGTATCATTTAATAAAGCAATAAATATTTTGAGTTATCTAATATCTACAGAATTCCGTAAAATGTCTAGAAAATCTAACAGATCAAAACCGTTGACACAGGAGAAACTCAAGAGGTTAAAGTGATGATAGTCTTGAACCTATAGACGATTTAGATGCAGATCCGGATTTTGACATTCAACATAATAGTGATAGTAATAACTCTAGTAGAGGAGACACAAGTAACGATATAGATACTGGTTAAAAATCAAAAATAAGAAGACTTGAAGAGCTTGTGCAGGAACCAGGTCCTTCACGAGTTGAACAGTTCACACAAAAACCGGCTCGTTCCCGAGTTGAACAGCTCGCAGAGGAACCAGAATTTGCACAAGATGAAGTACTAGCATCAGAACCAGTTCTTCATGAACCTTGCCTTGATTTTTACCTGGGAGCCTGTTGAGAATGACCCACCACACTTTGAATTCATTCCTGGTAAAATGTTGGATTCATCAATGATATCTTGTTGGAACTTCAAGATCGGTCCCCAGCTGCATACTTTCTATACTTCATTTAAAACGTCGTTCTGGATATTATTGTAACAGAGACCAATAAATATGCTAAAAAAGTTTTGGGAGCTAATCCAAATAGTACCTCTAGACTAAATGCATATAAAAACACAACTGTGAATGAAATAAAAACACTATTTGGACTTCTGATATGAATGGGACTTTGTAAGTACAGTAAAATCAATTGGTACTGGTCAACAAACCGACTTTTCCAGAATCAAGTTTGCAAGATTATGTCGAGAAATAGATTCGAAATTTTGATGAGAAGCTACATTTTGCGGATGACAACGATCGGTAACCCAATAATCGTTTACATAAAATCTCATATATTCTCAGTATCATCAAAAATTGTCCCACTACCTGTCAAAGAACACAGATTTCAAGCTTTTGAGGGAGTTTATCAGAAAGTAAAGAGGAGGTGCACTGGTTGCTATGAGCGTCATAAGCGTGAACGAGATCGTAAATATGCTGCAGCTCACACCAAAAACGTCATCACGAAATGTCCATCTTGTGACAAATTCTTCTGCCTTTCTTGTTTCAATAAAAAACATCCTTAAATTAGGTCACATGCATAAGTTGAATGTGCTAAGACATGTTTAGTTTTATTATAAGCATTGTATTGCTAGTTTTGTTAGTTAGATTTTCGTAGTTTGTTTTTGTAAATTATATGATTCTTTATTTTGTCCATAATATAAAACAATTGACTATATTATCTTGACTAAATTATTGATATTTTCCTTCCAAAACTCTGTAGATCATTGTATGCTTAATACACATGTTATCAGAAAACCAAGTAGACCAAGGTGTAGCCTGGTACCACGGCAACATTTTCATGAAAAGAAATGTATTAAAACGTGATCCCAATAGGAGCCACACGTACATAATTACAACAGTGTCGTTTGGCTCCCATGGGGATCACATGTACCCGAGTTCAAATGGCAGTGTGATACTCATAGGGGTCACATGCACCAGACTCTAGGATACTATGATCCCCCTAGGGGTTACGTGGCGTACAATGTGTTAAATGGCAGTTGCAAAGAAAAGCTCCATTTTGTTACCAAGGTTACTTTTTTGCTTAGAACATTAACCTTTCTACAAAAATAACACAAATAACTAAATAATAATGAAAATATTTAAACTATCTACTGAAAAAGGTTATATATGGAACCTTTTGGTTTATTGCGGTAAATCAAAAACACTGAATCCGAAGTGTCGGAAAATACAGTTATGGTATCTTTTGAACGATGGTAGAACATCATATATTGACAGATAATGAACCAGTATACCTCTGAATCAACGTTTGAGGAAGAACAGCACCCATTTGGTGGGAACGATTAGAGCAAATAGGAAATATATGCTACAAGATGTGATGTGCGCCAAACTGAAAAGAAAAGATTTCTCAGCCAAACAAACAGATAACCGGATTATTGTTTTGAAGTAGCCTGATACGAGGGATGCTCAAATGTTATGAATGAAGTCCTCGACATTAAAACGCCCTCTAATCAAAGTCGAACAAGACGAACTATTGGTATTGCTGACCAATTTGGAACTATACAACGAGAAGTACATTAGCTAGTAACAGATGTCCAAGATTGCAAGAAAATCAGGGGCGTTGTTCGGACTGTTACAAGAAACACAGAAGGAAAGGAGCAACAAATGCTAAGGGAAAAATTGTGAGAGCATCTCAAGTAAGCACCAGTGAACAGCAGAGGTTAGGACACTTGAGCTTGTAAAAATTTTTCGGACCGTAGGAAAAAGCGGCGTCCTTTGATTCCAGTGGCAGATGTCACACTTCGTGACAATTCGTCTTCTTTTCGTCTTCTTCTTAGTGTGCCGTCTCCCTACGGAGGTTGGCAATCATAATGGCTATTTTTATTTTTGAACTTGCTGCTCTAATCAAATCAATCGATCTGCATTAATACCAATCACGTAGATTCTTCAACCATAAGTTCTGCCTTCTGCCAATAGATCTTCTTTCTTAAAACTTTCCCTGTATTATAAGTCTCTAAATTTCATATTATGGTCCCCTCATCACGTGGCCTAGGTATTCCAGTTTTCTAGTTTATACAGTGATGATGTAACGGGTAGCTCTTTCAGGACGACAGACTCAGTAAAACACAGGTTAAAATAAAAATATGTCTATTGATCTAATATATGTACAATATACATGAAAATAAAATAAATCCTGTGCCGTAGAAATTAGCTCTGCGCTCCGTCTGGATCCCGCGATGAATGAATCCCCGGCGGACGCCTATAAAAGAAAGAAAGAAAATAATTATTAATAACAAATAAAATAGGTGTAGTCAATCGCACTCAGACGTATATTCGCTTCCGCTTCAAACCAGCGGGAGCTGCGAACACACTCGTCAACTACAAAATCGCTTATGCAGGTCCGCGATAAAGTTCAAGACACGATATCGGTAGACTTTGCTTAATTATGGACGGAGCATGAACTTCAAAGCAGAACTACCTCCGTCCGGGTGGGTTCGCCAGTTCAGGACACTGGCGAAGAGAGGAGCCTAAGGCGCTAAGCTAAAGACTGAATAAATGCCGCTATTCATATGCCTTAAATAGTTGCTCTGAACCCCACTCACATCGTGCTAAGGAGGTGGAAGCGCCAACGCTGACACTCCTACGGTTCAAGCTGTTGAACGGTGATGACATCGTTACACCCCCTTCTCTTTGGAAAAAAAAAAAAAGTAGCATACCTTTTTTTTTTGTATATGGCGTCTACAGCCTTGTAATGCCATTTATCCCTCTTGGAATCTTTATTACGATCTTCTTCCCGTTGTTGCAGTACAATCTGTATCTTTTGGTCCCCCTCTCTATTAGGTGTTGTGGGACGATCTCTACAAGATCGGCGTGTCTCCCGGGTTCTGGTTCGCCTGGAGTGGATGCCGACTGTGCTTCAGGTCCGGTTATCGTATCGGGTACGCTTTTCTTCTTCGGTGGTGTTGGTGGCGTCCCAAACAGTTCGTGGAATCTTTTCAACATTCTCTCTGCGTCTTTTCCTGGTGTCACGGGCAGTTCGGGTTTCTCTGGCGTTCCCAGAGGGGTCATCTGTTCTGGTATCTCTAGTATGTCTTCCATGTTAGATGTGGATGAACTGAATTTTGCTTGCTAGCACCGCTCTTTAAATACCGTTTGGTTGTGGTGGGGATTCGATTTGTGTAATGACATTTTCCCCCACCCAAGGTTTTAAATCTTTTACGTGTGCCGTTATCTGCTTGCGGGTATTTCTATCAGCCAATTTCAGTTTTACTATTACCGGTGATATTACTGACGTTACTACGTATGGCCCTGAGTACTTCGGCGCTAGTTTGCTGGTGAAACCTGCACTCGCCGACGATAGATGGTGTTCCTTTTTCATGACTCGATCTCCTGGATGTGGTCGCCAGTCTCTTCGTCTTAGATCGTAATGTTTCTTTTGGTCCTCGAAAGCGTGTTCCATGTGCACTTTCGCCAGTTCTCTTAACGCTTCTAACTTGTTCAAGTTTTCTGCATACCCCTGTATATCTTGTCCACTTGTCGCCTCTGTTGTGTCTAATTCTCTTCCGAAATTAAGCAGCGCTGGTGAAAACCCTGTTGAATCGTGTCTTGACGAATTTACGGCGTAGCAGAATTCTGGTATGAATTTGTCCCAGTCTTTATGGTTATCTTCTACGTATGTGGCTATCATCGTTTTCAGTACTTTGTTCATTCGTTCCACTGGATTGCCTTGAGGTGAGTACGGCGGTGTTAGAATGTGATTTATGTTATAGGACTTTAGGAACGCCTTAAAATTGCTGCTTGTGAACTGCGCGCCGTTGTCCGAAATGATTTTCGTCGGGATGCCGAACTGCATAATTACCTTCGATCGTAAAGTGTCGATGATGGAGTTCGTAGATGCTGCTCTTATTGGCTGGGCAACGATCCATTTGGTAAACCGGTCTTGCGCGACTATTAAGAAAATGTTTCCTTTTGCAGATCTTGGGAATGGTCCCATTAAATCAACTGAGACAGTATGCCAAGGCTTTTCTACAGTGGACGGTTGCATTTTCCCGGCTGGTTGCATTTGAGACGGTTTATATTGGAGGCACTTCGTACAAGCTCTAACGTAGTCTGCGATTTGTTTAAACATCTTAGGCCAATAGTACTTTTGCGCTATTCGGCAAATTGTTTTTGCAATTCCTAAATGGCCTGCTGTGGTCGAGTCATGATTTTCCTCCAAAATATCTTTCCTTTTATATCTTGGTACGCATAACTTCCATGGGTTATTAAACTCTGGGTCGGCTAAATTACGGCTGCTCCAAATGTGTTTATATAACTTCCCGTTTGTTATTTGTAGATCCGGGAAATCGTCTGGGTTCTGGAGTACATTTCTATATAAATTATCGTACCAACTGCATGATTCCAATTCTGATGCTAATAATTCCAACTCTGGTTCTTCGCTCTGGTTTTCCTGTGGTTGTCGTGACAAAGCATCTGCTACCTTGTTGAGGACTCCCTTTCTATATATTACCTCAAAATCGTACTGTTGCAGTTCTAAACTCCACCTGGCTAATCGACCTGACGGGTTTTTAAGGTTCTTCAGCCATTTGAGGGACTGATGGTCTGATATGACCTTAAAATTGTATCCTTCTATATATGGCCTCATTTGCTTTATCCCGTATACGATGGATAGACATTCTTTTTCCGTTGTGGAATATTTTGTCTCGGCCGGTGTGAGGGTTCGACTAGCATATGCGATTACTTTATCCTGGCCGTCGTACTTCTGTGTTAGTGCGACTCCAAGTCCGCAGTTCGACGCATCTGTTTGCAGGTAAAATGTTTTTGAAAAATCGGGGCATGCTAATACTGGGGCCGATGTAAGTTTTGATTTTAGCTCTTCAAACGCGTTTTCTTGCTTATCGGT